AATCAGGAAACAAATGAATTTTTAACTTTATAATGGTTACTCTATTTTAGCATTACACAATACATAAATAATGGATTATTTTTAATTCTTTTTGAACATTTCACTGCTCTTTTTTCAAGTGTACTTTAATCTTGTACTTACACAGTTTTGTCAGTACCTGTAAAAAAACCTGTTTAATGTTGGCACTAGTAATAAGCACACTATTAGTTCCTTTCCTAGTTATAAATCTAGTCAAATATCATTGAAACTAACAAATAATGGCATTACTGTAAATATTTAGTCAAACTATATGAAATATATATCTTGTTTCATTTTGCCATCAATACCTATTATTTGGATTAATAATATTCAGTTAGATAATCCTAAATATAATTAGAGTTGGACATACCTGCTGGAAAGGCAGAGCTGGTGCTGTTGGTGCCCTCTGGGGATTAATATGGGACTCATTTAATTGTTTGTTTAACCAGTTGATAACTACAGAAAATAAAATTACATAACATTGAACTCTCTTGTTAATTCCAGTACCCATTTTCACCTGATAAATTACAAGAACTTTATTATGTTTCATTTTACATGAATTAATATTATTCAAAGATTTTATAGAAAGTTTTTCAATTAAAATTTTTAATAAAATACAAAAATGTATGATAATAACAGAATGGCCACATTCTCTCCAGTTCTCTGACATTCTAAATTTTACAGACCTGCATACAAACATGCATGATATGCTGATATTTAAGCTTTTCCTTACAATTACACTTACTTAACATCACTTCAACTTGTAATCTGCTTACGAAGAAAAATAAGGATTTTAGAATATACTTATTTCATATTATGGCAACACAAAAGATCTTCAATCAAGGACAATGCAAGTTTAGGATAAACAAAATGTTGTATTATTATCTATCACCAAATATAATGATTTAGATATATTTATCATCAGATGAAATAACACAGAGCAATTGACCAAGATAAAATATACCAATAATAAGCATTGCTAGGCATCATGGTTTGTATGTATGTGAAAGTTCAGAGACAACAAAGGAGCATAATCTTTCCCAAACTTTTTTTTTTGTACAATCTCTAGACTTTTCCATATTTTCCATGTTCACGCAGACACCCTGAATAAGCAACCATGACTATACCACTACACTTATTTAAATCTCAAAGGAGTACAAAAATAAGAATGAAATACATGAAATAAGTCACTGTTTGATCAAAATACTAGTACACTTCATCTTGAGGACTGTCAGAATGTTTTTTTTATTGTTTGTGTGTATGGGGAGTGGAGGGGGAGGGGTTAAAATGATGCAACTGATCTGTTTTAAGGCTAAGTTACTTATACCTCTAATCAATTTATCTTTTATTTAACCCTAAGATACAAAAGTATCAGAAAATGTTATCTAAGATCCATTTAAAGAACATTTTTATTTCTCTTCTTCTAGTACAGGGTACCCAAAGGGTAATGGTCTGTGTGACTGGTTCATGCAGGATGTAACAGAAGCCCGAGTTTGGTTGAACGATACCTTCCAAGAACATTGAATTGTCAGATGTGGGTCCCAATATCTCCAGACTTGTTTCGAATTACAAGGACATCATGTGAAACAGTCTATAAAATTCTTAAAGTGCCTATGGTTCCAGACTTTTCAGACGCCCTGTAGAAACAGCCAAACAACATTCATCTTTTGTATCCTACTTACTTCCCAGTGAAACTAAAAAGTCCAGACTGTTACTTTATAATGAAAGTTTGCAGAAGTGTATTATATCAATATTGTAACCTAGTTTAGCTGTACAGTTCTTAAATTCAATCACTAAAAAAAAAAGTCAGTGGACAGTACAAGAAAATTAAACCAGAAAGTTAGGCTGTTTATGAGAAATAAACAAAACAGGGGTGGATATTACACTTTTCTAAAAGTTATGAAAACTGTTATCTCTTTTTTTTTCCCATTTGCTTATAACTCCCCACAATGTTTAAATTCTTTTCATCCCATGTTTTATATATCCTGGTTAAACTTTCTTGCAATCTAGACATATATTGTTGAAGTGACAAAAATCTTAACAAAATAAGTATAGAAATTTCCTCTGTGTGTATGTGGGGATTTCCAGATAGATATGTACAAAAGCTCTTTTTAAAATCTGTTGTTGGTGCTTACCATTTTCATTGGTTCTGATTTGTTTCTGACAGTCTTCTAGTTTTTGTTTAACATTACCAAGCTCCTGCTGTAACCTGTGGTTCTGGAGAAACATCAAATATGTGGATAAATAACATTTAGAGATCCTATTAATCAATTAAGAAATGTTTTATATGAAAGGTTCTGAATGGACTTACAAAAGTTCATTCAGGAATAGGATATGCAAGTGACTTCCATAAAAAGTTCACAGCACTTCCTTGAATCTCACTACATAAACAACCACTGATTAAATGATTGCATCAGTAAATTACTAACTAAGGTGATAACATTACTAACGAAATTCCCTCATTATTCAAACAATCATAACACAACTCAGCAAATTCAAAATCAATCAGAGACCAACAAAGAAAATGACCGTAAGTCACATTTAATTGATAAAGAAGAGCAAACAAGGAATAAGAAGGATTTGAACCTGAACCCTCACTTGCAACTGATACACATGCACCAAAGCATGGATTCTGATAATAAGATACTGCTGTAAAAACTGACACACAGTGCAATATTTTAAACTTACTATTAGCACATACTTACAAAACAATTTTATATTTGGATAATCAAAAACATCACAGAAATTTAAAAAAGTGTTACCTTCTAAGAATTAGATGTCTATATAAATCCTCAATTAATTACTGATGTCTAGAAGAAACTAACGATAAAACAAAGATTTAAAACACAACTGTAATACCTCATCATCCTTCTCCTTTCCTGAAGATTTTAAAGTTGAGACCTCTTCTTGCAACGTTTGAAGCTTGTTCTCTTTATCTCCAAGAATCTCCTCTTGCTTAGCAGTTATCTTGTTTCTCAGCTTTAGCTGTATGCATAAAACATAAACTGTCAGTTATGTTCAATTACTGGACAAGCTCTCATTATTTATACTTGTAATTTATGAAAAACTACTCCAGTTATTGTCCTTCAATAGAAATATGTCAATCTTTGGTATTAATGTGGGAAGGCTTTTACGTTAATCAGCAGATCAACTTAACCTTTTCTTGTCAGGTACAGCTGTACACAACAATTTCATGAACTTATTTACCAACTGTAAGTCTTGATGAAATACAAATAAAATGCTTGGTTTGACTTAACAGTTTACCATTCATGTATCAAATAAACCATACCTTCTACATCCTTTTCTGGGGCTTAGAAATGATGTTTTTAATACAATTATGAAAGTATAGATGCTTATTTCAAATAATTTTATAAAGAAACTATTATTTATAAAAACGTTTACTTCAAGCTCCAAAATTAATACCTATCTGGCAAAATTTGAGTTATTTTTTTAATTCTTAAAATAAAGTTACAAGAAAAAAGTTTAAATTTTTTTTTCAATAAAACAACAGAAAACAATGTGTAAAAATGTTTCACTTAGTAGTAATTTCTGTTTAGTTAATACAACAAAACTTTTACAAATATTTATTCTGGGAAAGAACCTGCAGTTCTTTTTTTTTAAAGCATTTAGCAATAACAAAATCATACTTTTAACTTTCTTTAGATCTTGCAGTAAAAGTTAAAATTAAATGTCAAGACAGTTATTGCATCATTCCACACTAAATCATCATGCTTTATGTGATATAACTAGACATTAAAGTATTTAGTTCAACACTATTCAGCACTGTCAGGCAGGAAGTTTCTTTACAAGTCTCATCTCAATAGTATTCTCTAAGTTATTTGGAATGATAGCTCACTAGAGAAACTACAATGATTCCAATAATATCCATTCTTTTACAAACCTTTTGTGTATCAATAATTGGTAATCTCTTGTACAACAGTTATGATCCTAAAACACATTAATGCCTAATCACATATGAAGATAGGCTTATCTGACCTAGTAATTTTCTGTCAACATATATGAAACACCACTTTTACAAGATCTAAGTAAACCCTACAAGAACAATGAAACCTTTTTTTAGACCAGTACCTTACAACTGTCCCTTGTAAGATGGGTGATGTCTTGGTATAAATAAACCAGTTTACTGAACAGAAACTGTAGGATTTAAAGGCTACAAAACAGTTACAAACACCGTAAAAATTGTTTTTTAACATTTGAACACATATAACTCTCAGATGGAAGAATAGATAGAGAAACTGAAACAAGAATACAAGTCTTATCATTTGTTGAAATCCCAAAACAAAATAATAACCAACCTTAGTGATCCTTGACATTGAACTGTTACATACATACATGTCCGAATGTCAGTTACTTGACAAAATTGAGCAACAACAACAACAAAAAACGAGTACTGCTGACTTACATTACTGATGAGTGATCTTTGCTTTTATATATAATTCCAAATTAAAACCAATACTACAATTTGATCAAGTATTGTTACAAAGAAGAAATAAACAATGATACTCTATTACAAATTACCTTTGGTCATCCTGACATTTAAGATCACCTATGTGTAGCAAACAAAATCCTGTAATCAAAACTTTTAAAAAAAAGTCTTCAACCTTATATGAAAGTAGACGGTGTGAAGCTGGAAAATATAAATTATTGACTAAAGAAACAGAAGATTGGTCTTCCAAAACATCTTATTTCATTACAAAATCTCATTATTCCTTCTCTCCATGTGTAGCAACAAAAGTTTTCACGGCTGTACTTTTGAACAATTTTGGGAAGAACATCAACAAGGCTTTATATCTTTTGGTTTGTTTTGAATTTTGTGCAAAGCTGAGCTAGCCATCCCTAATTTAGTAGTGATAGACTAGAGGGAAGGCAGCTAGTCAACACCAACCACTGCCAACTCTTGGATTGACCATCACATTATAATGCCCTTTCAACTGAAAGGGGTGAGCATCTTTGCCGCCAGGAAATCAAACCCACAACCCACAGATTGCAAGTTGAGTATCATAGCCACCATGCCAGGCCCCACACAATGTCTTATATATATATATATATTTTCTTCCACTGTTTCCTTAGTCAATAAAGTGTACTTTTTTCTAGCTTCACACCATGTCTTTATATCCTGCAATATATCCTTCCACATATTAGGTCCTCAAATCTAATTATTTCAAAGATGAAGTGAATTTCTGCTAGGTTTATTTTTGGAATATCACAACATGAACAGATATATATCATATTTGGTGAGAAAATTTAAGGCCCAATCAGATATAACAAGGTTAAAAATTAGGAAGGTACGAAACACAATTTGGTTATATTTACCTTTGCATGGTAATTACGTATTTCTGACTGAAGTTTTGTAATTATTTCATTTCCTTTCATTACTTCATCAGACAAACTTTTTAGGGAAGATTCTCGTTTGTTTAATGTGATTCTCCTTTGTTCTGCTGTTTCCTCAACTTCTCTCTGGAATAACATGTATACATAAGACAAAACACTTATTTCATATTAAACCAAAACATTAAGCACCTTTCTACTCCATTGATACTAAATATTTTTTAAGTTAAAAATTAAACTCTCACTTAGTTTTCAGTCACAATGTGTTTTATTAGGAGTTAGCCATCAGATATTACTTGAAAGTTTTAGACTTTTTCTTTATTTTCTATGGAAAACATAACAATGTAAATGATAGCATGATGTGCTTATCAGTGAGTCAAATGTGTTTTAAAGGTAATAGTGTGAAAGAGGTAAAAAAGTACAGTTGTATTTTTTTAAACTATTTAACTCAACACTGACAGCAAATTAAAGGTTCTTTAAGTTAAAAATTAAACCCTCACTTAGTTTTCAGTCACAATGTGTTTTATTAGGAGTTAGCCATCAGATATTACTTGAAACTTTTTCTTTATTTCTATGGAAAACATAACAATGTAAATGATAGCATGATGTGCTTATCAGTGAGTCAAATGTGTTTTAAAGGTAACAGTGTGAAAGAGGCAAAAAAAAAGTACAGTTGTATTTTTTTTAAACTATTTAACTCAACACTGACAGCAAATTAAAGGTTCTTTTCAATCATGAGTTCTGATACTAATTTTACATAAGCTTGATAATGTAGGCTGTAGTCATGCACAAGAATAATATTCAATACAAATGAGCTCTGTCACTTACCCTTTCTTCTTGAACGACACGTAGCTGTTCCTGAGAACGGCTCAGTAACTGTTCTTTATCTCTGATATCTTCTTCCATACTGGACACTCGTGTCTTCAACTGTCCAACTGTTTTTTCCAGATCTTGGTTGTCAGTGTTTATTTTGTTATTCTCTTTTGTGAGCATCTGAGCCTTGTGTCTGAAGTGTTGAAGTTCTTCTTCGAGAGCAGAAATACGACTTCTTAATTCTCTAATGGTAGAATCAGATTTATGCGATTTTTCCTGAAGATCCTAAGATGCCAAACAATTTCATTTTACATTTTTTAACTTGAAAACTTAATTGTATATTCCTTTTTTATATAAATTTTTTGTCTTATACCATAATGTCATGTTTTTAAAAGTTCTAAAATATTCGAGCAAAATTTACAGCAACAGTTTGATGAAGCTTAGATTTTGACTTTTAGAAAAACAGTTTTTAGGCTTCATCATATAAGCATATACAGACATTAAATGTACTCTTCATATTGGCTTTTATATCCCTTTAACAACCCGTAAACTTTTAAAATACCTTTCTGCACGTCACAAGTTGTTACCGAGTGACATTCAAAATTAGTATTATCAATTATGTTATTATTCGAAGTTTTATAATACCCAAGTTATTATTCCTTTACTTCGAGAGAAACCTCTGAAACAAACAATTAAAAATTCAGTTTGTTGTCATGTGACATACGTACAGTTGAAATATCATAAATTTGATTACTTATGTTTCTGTTCAGTTTGTCTCAATATCTCTATGATAGTCTAAATGAGCTTCTACAAGTACCAGGTCAAAGTCTAAACATTAGTTTCATTTCACAAAGGCTAAGTCACTCCAAGAATTAGCTTATTACTTGATCTTTTCTGGTAAGCACCATGCCCAGATTACAAAGTAATCTGTTGCTAAGCAACAGTCTTTTCTAGACTTGAATGGCATACTTATACCCAAGAAAAAATCTCCAGGCCAGAAGGAAATGTAGGCATAAATTATTTTTGAGATGACAAGCTTGTCCATTTTCAGATCAGAGTTCCTAGCACTTGACTATTTTTTCTCACCTTATACATATTAGTCTGATAGACAGGTAAATTGCATTTAGGTTTTACTTTTATATTTTAGTTAATTATGTTTCATTTGTGTTTTGAAATTCTTATTTGGAAGGTTTAATAATTTTTATAAGATATACAAAGCATTGCCTTGCTCTACATTACCAGGCCTGTACAAATAATTTTGCCAGAGGCTAAAGTATCTATACTTTTCATACCATTCTATTGCCCACAGGTACCTGTTGATGTATGTCGACATGAATAATTAACGATAAAGAACAGGAAATGTTAATAAAACATTAAAATTAAAGTATCAGTGAAAAGGTGAAGACATAAAATTATGCATATGGCCCAAAAGATATTTTAAGACTATTCTACGAAGGTATGTACATATTTCCATTTCTTAATTTTAAACATTTCATTGCACTGTATGTTGATGATAATAGCTAGAGTTAGTGATATGATAGAGAAAATGAAAAATAAAATATAAACATTTACCTTAAAAAACTTTTGATATTGAATTGAGAGGTACTACAGATTATGCAACTGAAATGTAAAACTGTCAGATAATAAATAATTAGATAATAATAAGATAGCAAATAATTACATTAAATAACGAATTTTTTATTATAAATAGCAGAAAAAATCAAAATTAAATATTTTAATTTTCTGAAACTACATACTTTTAGGAAGGTTCTCGTCAAATTTCAAGCAATTTTATCCACCATTTTTATTTTTGGAATGAAATATGATGAGAACAACTTTACCATCTTACAATGTAAGAAGCTGGTAATCAAAGGGATAATATTGGTGGTTTTAAAAACATTCAATTTTCTATGTGTTGGAAAAATATTTGAAGAATAAAATCAAAAATTTTCACACAAACTAAGTTTTCAGCTGCACCTTATATAGCAGTACCACCCAAACACGTGATGGAAAAGGTACCTTCACCCCAAACCTGCCATAGATTTTATTTTTAAATACATTTTATAAGTTTCAATCTTGTTTGAAATTTGATAAATTATTTAATAAATGTTTATCCTTTAAAGAGAATTATCAAACATAAAAAGGAACAAATTTGTGGATCCTATAAGAGAAAATGTGTATTGTGGTATTATAAACAATTAGCCAGAATTACCAGTTTTTAATTCTATTCACTAATCAATTAGTGTTGGCTTTTGTAGTAATGACAAATCATTCAATTAAGTGGGATTTTTTTGGGTGTGGAAGAGTATGCTAGAATAATACACCTATCACTTAAGTTGCAACAGAACAGAACTACATGAAATTTACTTTATAAAGACAAGTTTCCAATTACACAGCAGCTGCAGCTTGAAATTAGTGCTATATTGTAGGAGTACTGAGAATAATTCAGCAACAATCCAAAGAGAGAGAAAGTTATCTTCTTTTATTATTTCTAGAAAAATTCTGGAAAATAAGAAAAGTCAAAGAATCTTTCTACATCAACACGATACAATTTAACAGAGACTTAGACCTGGAAATCAGCTGTTTGTGGTGGCCACTGGTCAAATCATCACTTGTTTCACTAACCATATTACAAGAAACACCAACAAATCATGCCGTATACACCCCAATCCGCCTGGATAGCGTGTAAACATTCCAATGACCACCTTACAAGAAACACCAATGAATCATATCATGTATACCTCAATCCTTCTGGATAACATGTAAACATATCAAAAACTGGTGCAAGCTGAACTGAAGGTGAAAGTCTTTTGAAATGTTGTTCTTTCCATCTGTGCTACTTTTGTACATTAGTCCTCTTAAGACTATCCACAAATGTCACAGTGAACTAGGCAGTTGTTGCAAATTTCACCTTTGTTTGTTGACCAGTTCAGTTATTCTTTATTCCATACAAAATAAATGTGAAAAGGTCATAAGAACATTTCCTCATTTTGCCCTGACTTCAGGTCAGCTAGCTTGACTTTAATCCTCTGCACAAAACAATTGACCACAAATTGACCTACATAGTTTCTAAACTATAACTTCTATTATGTTTTTGTATCTTCCCAAAATTTTGCTAGAATTTAATAATCATAAGGTCTTTATAAGAATTTTTAACGAAGTATTTTAATTAAAAATTTCCCCATGAATATATAGTCATAGGGTTGACTGCTCCAAGTGCAAAATGATTTTCATGTTATGATTAACCATATCACCCCGGGTATCCTTTACTGCGCATGACACAAAGTTTTAGTGTCTTACATTAAATATTTTATTAAAATAAT